GCAGTAGATCCCATAGAGCTCGAGTTACAAGTCTATTAAGCCACCTACTGTGGGCACTCAGAATAGAAGTGAAGTCTACTGCACTAGGAGGAAGTGCTCTTAACTACTGAGACATCTCTGCAGTCCCCATTGTTTTGAATTTTATATGAAGCCTTTGATTATTTGTTCTGTATGCCAAATCCATATATAAGTATAAGAACTTATGCCCATTTCCAAATACTTACTGCACCTGGCTTATATGTCAAGGACATGTTTTAGTGTCTATTTGTGGCTTCTCTGAGGTTGAAACACAGTTTTTAGACGCCATCTGCAATGTGTCTTCTTTTCTTTCTGTATATAGACACCCTTGTCATAATGCTGTCTGCTAAAATGGAGGAAAACATTAGACACTGGCGAAAGCTAAGGCTTCCATTTCAACCAAGTGTCAGGAGCCCTTGGCCTGGGAAAAGTTGTTGTCTGCTTTGCACCACCATGCGTGTCTTCACCTGCAGAAGGAGTGTATGGACGGGTTACTGTTCTCAGCAAGGAGTGGGAGTCTATGGGAGGGCTATACAGTGTATTGCAAGTTTCTGGTCCTGCTGCTGGTATCTGAGAGGGCATAGCTGTTGTTTTGATTTGAAGGACATTAAAGGAAGTCATTCCATTTTTTGGTAATCTTCCATTTGCCTTGTTACTCTGAGAAATTGTATCTTCATATAAAATTAAATAATTTGGAGAAAAATATTCATAAATGTTAGTTGTAGGTAGCCAACAGTGAGCTATACATAATCTATGTTGCTTTCAAATTTCTCAGTATAGTCATATCTCTGCTTGTATTTACTGATTTGACTACATTTTGTTATTATTTCTCCTGGAAAACTATACAGACCAATTCCTTCAGAACACTTTACAATAGTTGTGGGACATTTAAAGGCAGAGACAAATCAGTCAGCTTTACTCCATGTGGAGCTGGTACTGCTTGTGAGAGACTTGAGGGAGGGCAGATGTATCCCAGCATCTGTGTCACTCACATAGGAACCCTAGATAGACTGTTCCTTGTCAGTTGCTGAGGCACAAAGAGAGAGACTCTCCAACCCTGAGTTCACTCAAGAACAGCAAGGAGTCATACCCTGGGTCACACCTACTGCACAGGTGCCAGGCTCAAAGGGTGACAGGGAAACTACTCAAGGCCACACCAAAGTAACAGGGGCTTTTTAGGTGTTACTGGCAGTTACTCAAAGAAGTCTTTATACTGTTAGAAGAGGTTTAGGTTCAAGAGTTCTGGACAGGAAGCCCTTGATGGTTTTTCATGAAAGAGCCTTTTTTTTTTTTTTTTTGTAGCTGAGGACCAGACCTAGGACCTTGTGCTTGCTAGGCAAGTGCTCTACCACTGAGCTAAATCCCCAACCCCAGAAAGAGCCTTTTTGTTGCCTGGTATGCCTTTAATCCCAACACTCCAAAGGCCTAAACATGGGGGTTTCTGTGAGTTGAAGGCCAGGCTGGTCAAAGCTGGTTAATGATATGGCAAAAACATAAACCAAAAAAAACCCCTGGAAAATAAATAAATAAAAAGTGAGTGCCTTTGAACAAAATGTGTTTATGCTTCCTTGTGTTTTAAAAGCAAAATATTGAAGTGATGCTCAGAAGAGCTGATTCAGGGAAGGTTAAAAATAACCAGTGTTTTTGCCATGTCACTACTACCTGCTTTGGTAAAACAAGCATTGGATAAGGAACAATACTGCATTCATTTATATATTAAACAAAAATTTACTATAACAAGCAAAACCTCTGGGGGTGTAGTTCTGTGATAGAGTGCTTGCCTAGCATGTGTGAGGTCCTAGGTTCGACTCCACCCACTAATAAAAGGAAGGAAGGAACATGGGAGCTAGGGAAGGAGCAGGTAGAGACCGAGCAATTCTAAACTTTAGTGTTGTCAGATTCCTGCTACCTTGTTTTTAAACAAGCTTCTATAGTTTTTCTACATACCCTAAATTGGGCATAGTTACCCAAGTGGGTATGTTAATGTTAATCCAGTGAGATGTCTGTGAGTATCTGTATAAGAGAATGTTGTTAGCTTCTTCTTAACACATTGTTGTAATGCCTTCTACACTTTATAGATTCTCATAACTTCCAAGTCATGGTGACAGTATTATTGTGCTAGTCCTTCCAAATAAGGTCCAATTGTACCCAGCTATTCTACAGACTCAGTAAGGCTGACCTTCCAGGTACCTAACCTACTGTATGGAGTAATGATGTTAAAGGACTTAGTGTTGACATTTGTATCCATTGTATCACTCGAATTCAAAGCAATATTTTTTTAAACAGCATTGTAGAACTACAAGGATAGTACAGACCCTGAATTTCAAATCATGTTACACCAAGGGATCACTGTGTGATTTGAGCAAGTGATTTACCCTCACAAAGTATCATTCTTTGCATGTGTAGTACAAGAAAAAATATCCTGTGCTTATAATAACATGAGATAAGGCACATAAAGTTCTAAGCCTGAGTTCTTGCCCAAAGCCATTAGGATTCATCATCTTGATGGAATCGCCGTTGGCTTTGCACCTTGGATTGTCTCCAGAACAAGGACTTCTTCCTTGTTGACCTCTGTGTTCTGGCTTAGCATGGGACCATTTCAGAGCAGGCACTTAACGAATCATTGCATGGGATGATACAAGCAGTTTTCTAAAACTGTATGGCTGTTTAGAAGACTAAACTTTATGTTATAGAAATTGCCAAACAGACTTGAGTGTCACTTTAGGCAACTGTAAAGAAGACTCAGGACCCTCAGACTCAGATTTGAGCACTGCAGCCAAAATACATTCCACGGAACTCTCTGCCTCTCCTACAAGATATGTAAAAGTTATTTCCTGGGCAGGTACTAAAATTGAGTATCATTAGAGCATTTGAGAGAATAACTTTTTGAATTACCAGATCACTTAATTACCTGGTTTTTTTTAACTTCTTCACTTTAAATGAAAACTGTACATTAAAACATTATACCATGATATCCTAGCTTTTTTAATTTCTAGAGAAAAAAATGACAACAGGGAGCTGAGTGGGACTATGGAGAAATGAACAAATAGGAATTGGAGAGAGAGCAGGTAGGGTAAGTGAGTGCTTTACAAATGAAACCAGATGTGTGAAATTACAAGCTGTCAGATCAGCAATGGAAGTGAAGATGATAAAGTAGTTCCCTACATAGTTTATAATTATTCATTTTGCCCGATCTAGTCTCCTTTCCATAGTGCTCACAGGAGGGAGCATGGTAGAGAGATTCCTCAAGAAGTAGCTTTTCCAGCTACCCATGGTTTGCAAAAAATCCATGAATGCAGCAAGGGCTTAGGGAAAATTCTTGTGTGAGGGCTAGACCTTTTCTATCTGAGGGGAAAAATAAGGGGACACACACACACACACACACACACACACACACACACTTCTTCTACATTATTCACTCACTGTTTACTCACTCTCACCTTGCTTTTCCTCCCACAGCCAAACTCTGGACAATTATATGTTGCATTCTCAGGGTCTGACCCATTCTCATAACACATGATAAGCCACACAGTTTTTCTCAGGCTAGGAAGGTCTTATTGACTAGCCAGTGAGTAACACTTGGCCAAGCACATAGCCTGAGTGGTTAGTGTTCCCAGACAGAGAATGACATTGAAATTCAGGACTTAACAATAACAGTAGTTGGCTGAACCTTGAGTGGTTGGGGTACATGCAGAAAGAGAATTACTGCAGAGGGTATGTCCACCAAAGTTGCTTCAGTGCTGATCTTGATTTAGCAATAAACTCCTGGGAACTTATCTTTGTATAGTCTCAGCTAGTCTGTTTTGAATTTGTTCTGAAATCTAAAATTAGCTGTCTTTGTGACTGACTGTTGTGTTCCTGTGTCAGTTATGAAAAATATTCTGGTATTATTAGAATTACACAGTTTAAGCAGAAATCATCTTCCTGACCATCCACAGTAGTATGCGTGCCAAAAAATGTAAAACACACTACCATGGGTCTGGAACACCACAGCTATTCTTTTTAGGAAGATAAGTGGTGGCCCATGAGAAAGTTAGAAACAGAAAACAAGCAGTTTCCACAGCCAGTGACTCTCGGACTTGGCCTAGTAGGGCTCCCCAACAGAGAGGCCTCATCTAGTTGTCACTCCGATGGCCTACTGCATCCAGCAGCAGGAAAAAAAAAATCTAAGAATGAAGGTTTGTTTTCATTTGTCTTATTTCCCTTAAATCACAGTTGTTCTCCTGTGGGACATTTTTCAAGTAATTTATTAATGAACAAGATTTGGTTACAACGATAGGAAGCTGTAACTATAAAGTTTCCTCACAGTCAGTGTTGCAGAAGCAATCACTGTGGCTCACAAAACAAGTGTCATTCATGGGCCCAACTGTGACTACTCTGACAGATAGGTTACCAAAAAATAGGATAGTTTACACAGACCTGTCTTAAAAGAGATGTTTAATTGTACCCATAATTAGGTTGATTTGAAAACAGTCTGCAGAATAAAAGCTGATCAAGGAAGATTTTTACTTTTCTCCTCCAATAATTTCTTTTTACTTTTAGAAAAACCAATAATTGTAGAAAATTGTATTTTTAATTTTGAATTGTGTGATACATATATAAAAGAATGAGAATGGTGTAAATTATGAAGCATAGTGACCAAGGTAAGTACTATTTTATTAGAATTTTTAACTGCTTCCCCATTTACAAGGTTTTTGTTACTAATTTCTCAGCAGCAAAGCTAAAGGTAGCCATATATGGCAGCAGATATTCAAGCATCTAAGAGTGTGTTTATGTCCTGCCACGCCCTGCGGGGAGCGCTAGTATGTTAGGTTGTAGCTGAAACGCACTGATTCAGAGGGCATTTGAGGAAGAACTCCTCTCAGGACAGACTTTTGTCCCATCACTTGAATTATTGCATCACTTGCTTTGGTTCTCAGTTATTTTCTTATATTCACCATATAAACAGTATTGTATCTGAATCCTTTTTCCCTCTTATTTAGTGATTTCTAGTAACTACCAGACCTGTCTTGGCCTTCTGATGCATTATCCACTCATCGGGGACATACACTCACTGATTCTTAAAGCTCTGTTCCTTAGAGACCCAAAGGTAAGCTTTCTTGGAAGGTTTTAAGTTGTGTAAAGAATGAGGTTCTCCAACTCATGTATTCCTAATGATTGTTATAAGTTATAAGCCAGAGTTCACATATGTCATTGGCCAGCATGTTAACAAGTGAATTCAGTGGGCATTGTCCTGAGAAACTGCACCCAGCCTGTGCCCCTGTTCCTCAGCAGGTCATATTCACCTCCTGCCTTCCTGTTAGTTTAAGGAAATATTTACACAACTGCTTCTTACAGCCAGACTTCACTATCTTTGATCCCCTCACAGGGGATGACTTATTCAAGTAGGGCTTCTGGGCCATATGAAGATCAAGAAAAAAGAGCTATACTAACGAGTAGGCCTGTATGACCTTATCACAAAATGGAACACTGAACTGTGATATGAATGTGTGTGTGTGTGTGTGTGTGTGTGTGTGTGTGTGTGTGTGTGTGTGTATTATCCTATTTTGTACCTTACAAGTAACCTAATAAAAATTCAGACAGACCTTAACACTGATTTTTTTATTTGAGTGTAAAGCAATTCATCAAAATTTTCTTCATACTTCACACACAAAAAAAGTGTGCTCTTTTACAACTAACGTTGTATTTCTTGAAAATAAGAACATTTAATGATCTAAAAAAAAAGAAATGTGAATACTTGCTGTTTTTGAGCCAAACAAAAATATTGGATGAAGAGTAAGAGAGAAAGCTTAGTATCAGAATGCAAGTATCAGAACGCCAGGCATTGGATGGTAATCCCAGCCTTTGGCTCTTTGGGAACTCTCCCAACAGTCATGTTGGCAGTTGTCAGACTGTCTCTGAGTCAGTCAGTCTGTCTGTGATTTCGGTTGCCAAAGCTCTGCCTGTTCATCTTGAGTGTCCAAGTTTTTTGGGGGTGTTTTTTTTTTTTTTTTGGTTTTTCGAGACAGGGTTTCTCTGTGTAGTTTTGGTGCCTGTCCTGGATCTCACTCTGTAGACCAGGCTGGCCTCGAACTCACAGAGATCCACCTGGCTCTGCCTCCCGAGTGCTGGGATTAAAGGCGTGCACCACCACCGCTTGGCTGAGTGTCCAAGTTTAATAGCAATCTGATTCTGAAAGATTTTTTACCTCTCTGTGGTTGCTGACATTAACTTATCTTTGAGTATATTTTCTATTATATGACTTAGAATTCCCCTTATGCCTAATCTGCTTTTTATAGAAACACTAACCTTTATAGCATTTCTGTTTTACAAAACAATTTTATTAAGCAACAAAATACAATCTGATTTCTTTGCATAAAGAAGTATCCATTTTTAGATATGGTTTATGAATACCAGTATTTTGCATTTCTGTTTTTATCTGTACACGTGTATGTAAGTCATATGTACTCTGTAACTAAAACTCCCACAGGATGATCAAGTAGCTACAGAAGTTGTAAAGATGAAGTTGCTAATCCATGATGAATTTTGATCTACAGGCTTAAAGCTGTATTCTGTCAGCTCAGCTTTAGGAATTCTTAGGATTATAAAGTGGGAGATTAGCTAAATCTCAATTTCCTATTTGTTTTTAAATAATATTTTTTAACTCTTTGATAATTTCATATATATTTTGCATGTATTTACCGTCTTCCCCAAACTCCTCCCAGATCTGTCTCCATCTCTCTACCTACCCAGCTTCATGTCCTTTTTTTGTTTTAAACCCATCCTGTCCATCTGTGCTGCCCAAGTACTCTTTAAGTGTGATGATATTCCCTGGAGTATGGTCAGCCTACCAGGTTTCACACCCAGAAAGAGAACTGACTTCCTTTCCCAGCAGTTATCAGTTGCCTCAGCTAAGGTAGGACTTGCTGCTCACTCTCCCCTCCATGTGGGGATTTTGTCTAGCTTGAGCTTGTGCAGGACCTGCATATGCTGTTAGAGCTGCTGTGTCTGGAAAACACAGCTTTGCTGTAGTCATCCACCACCTCTGGCTCTTCGACTCTTTCTGCCCCCTTGTCCCCTCTTCTACTATGATCCCTGAGCCTTGGAGAATGGAGTGAGATAGAGATGTCCCATTTGGGGCTAGGCACTCCTCAGTTTCTTATTCTCTACTTGTTGACTAATTGTGGGTATCCATGAGTCTTAGGGTTCTACTACTGCGATTTGGGGAGGAAAGGGTTTATTTTCCATGTTGCTATTGATTATCGAAGGAAGTAAGGACAGGAACTCAAACAGTAGGATCCTGGAGGCAGGAGCCGATGCAGAGGTCATGGAGGGGTGCTACTTAGTGGCTTGCTTCCCCTGGCTTGCTGAGCCTGCTTTCATATAGAATCCAGGACCACTAGCCCAGGGATGGCATCATCTACAATGGGCTGGGCCTTTCCCCATTCATCACTAATTGAGAAAATGCCTTACAGCTGGATATTATGGAGGCATATCCTCAACTGAGGCTCCTTCCTCTCTGATGACTCTAGCTTTTGTCAAATTGACACACAAAACCAGCTAGTACACCATCTACAGCAGGAAGAAAACTTCTCAGATGAGTTGAGAATCAGTGTCATTAGTAATCCATTTAATACCATGTGCATTTAACAGAATAGGAGTATGACCTCTCTTGGATCCAAGTCCTATCTCGCTAATGATTATTGGCTCTGGTAGCAGTGTCAAGTTTGGGTTCTAGTGGAGCCAGCCTTAAATCTAATCAGAAAGTATTTGGTTGCTTCCATACTGTCTGTGCCTTATTGCACCAATCTATTCCCTGTTGTAGCTTGCGTAATTATTAATTAATCCTACTGTTTGAGTTCCTGTCCTTACTTCCTTCAATAATCAATAGCAACATGGAAAATAAACCCTTTCCTCCCCAAATCGCAGTAGTAGAACCCTAAGACTCATGGATACCCACAATTAGTCAACAAGTAGAGATTAATAATTACTTTTCTGCACTGGTGCACCTTCCAGCAGTGTGAAAGCTACCCAACAGGGATTAGGATTCTGGTTAGTACCTGCTTGGTTTTCTTATCTATGTCTTCAACAATAGTGTCTTACCATCAAGTTCTGGAAAGTACAAAAGCAATGTGAATAGTACGTAATACCTGGGGTTTATAGAATCCCACTGGCCAACAGTTCCAAAGGAAGTAACCCATTCCCGGGACTGGGCTTTTCTTTTCTATCTGTAGTATCTAGTGTTATCAAATAAATCCATCTAAACTCTTTTTATATGTGTTATTATTATTTCAGGGTTTCTCTGTGTAGTTTTGGAGCTCGCTCTGTAGTCCAGGCTGGCCTCGAACTCACAGGGATCCACCTGCCTCTGCCTGCCAAGTGCTGGGATTATTAAAGGTGTGCACCACCACCGCCCAACAAGATCTCAAAGTTTTAATGTAGTTACTTAGTGCTATTAAGTTTCCTCTCAGGACTGCTGTCTTGGTCAGCTTTCTATTGCTGTGATAAAACACCATGATGAAAAGCAATGTGGGAAGGAAAGGATTTATTTCATTTTATAGCTTATAGTTAAGCAACCAGGGAAGTCAGGGCAGGAAGTGAAGGCGGTACTCTAGAGGCAGGAGCTGAAGCAGAGACCACTGAAAAGTGCTGTTGACTGACTTATCCACACTAGAGCCTGAGTTGGGCCCACCCGTCACAACCAAGAACATGAATTACAGGCCTGCCCACAGGCCAATCTGGTGAGAACATGTTCTCAGTTGAGGTTCCCTCTTCCAAAATGACTCCAGCTTGTGTCAAATAGACATTAAATCAGCCAGCACAAGTGCTGTCATTGTGCCCCATATATTTTGGTATGTTGTGTTTTGATGTTCATTTAATTTTTAAATTTTTTCTTAATTTCTCCCTTGCCCCAATTTTCATTGAGTAAAGTGTTGCTCAGTTTCCAGAAATTTGTGCACTTCCTGTCATTTCTGTTGCTGGTGACATCCAGCTCTGCTCCGGTGTGCTCAGGTAGAATGCAGGGTGTTATTTCAGCTTTCCTATACTTGTGGAGACTTGTTCTGGGTTGTAATAGGTGATCAGTTTTGAAGACAGTTCCATGGGCTACAGTGAAGAAAGTACAGTATTTAGTTTGGGGTTACAATGTTCCTAGATGTCTGGTAGATTTATGGGTCATTTGACTCCAAGGCTTCTCTGTTTGTTGGTTTTTTTGTTTTGTTTTGTTTTTGTCTGAATGACCTGTCTATTGGAAAGAGTGGGCATTGAAGTTTACCTACCATCACCTGATTGGAGTCAATCTGCGGTTTTATATCTAATAGTATTTCTTTTATGAAAATGGGCACCACCTGATTGGTGCATAACTGTTTAGAAATTTAATGTCCTCTTGGTTCATTTTTTTCCCTGAATGAATATGCAGTATCTTTCCTGATCTCTCCTGACTAGTTTTTGTTTAAAGTCTATTTTGCTAGATATTAGAATAGCTACACTTGCTGTTTCTTAGTTCAATTTGCTTGGACAAAAAATATTTTCTCTATCTTTTCACCTGAAGCTGATATCTGTTGGTGGTACTGAGGTGTGTTTCTTGGAAGCACCAAAAGGATGTGTCCTATTTTTCTTGTGAAGTCTGTTAGTCTGTGTCTCTTTGTTGAAGCACTGAGACGTGATATTGGGGTTATTTTGTTGTGGCGGTGTTATTTTCTTAGACCTTTTTTGATGAACGGCTCTGTAGTTGTTTATTCCCTTCACCTACTTAGGTGTGTATGACTTTCTCTCCAGACTAAAACATCCATCCAGTATTGTCTGTAGAGCTGGCTTAAATTCCTAGAAATCTATTTTTATCATGAAATGTCTTCTTCTTCTGTTATAATATTCTTCTGACAATTTTGCTAAGTTATCTTTCAGAATGTGTAGAGCATCAGTCCAGACCATTCTGGTGTTCAAAGCAGTCTGCAGGTGTTATTCTAATCAGCCCGTCTTGGATTTTTCTCTCTTGCAGCTTGAATACTCTTTGTTCTGTGCAGTTAGTGTTTTGATTATCATGTGACATGGAATTTCATTTCTGTTCCTGTTTTCTTGGTATTCTGTATGACTCTTGTACCTTGGTAGACA